ACCTCGACCAGATCTGGAACCACGGAGATGGGTGTCTCAAAGGAGGCGTCTGAGGCCTCCAGGAAACCAACTTTCCTTCACCGTCGCGGCGTCCCCTGTTGAGGCGGCGGCAAAGACCCAGAGTCGGGATGCTGTGAGCGGCGCCCTTTGACCGTCTTCACAAAGGTCAATTAGCCCGCTTGTTGGAGCATGGAACTCTGCAAGACGGTGTCGCGCCTTCCTTCCAGGTCCATGGGATGCTCCCCCTTCGCCTCGAGGAGACAGAGAACTCCAAAATGGCGTGGCGTTTTCTTGCGTTGCGAGATCTTGCTAGCCAGGGCTGTGTCTGCGAGCACGCGACAGTTTTGCGCTGCTTGCGCTGTCGAGGTTGTCTTTGGCCGTGTGCATAAACAGAAGGCTCAGTTCAAAAGCTTGTCCAAGCGGCGCCGTCATTCAACTTTAAAAAGTCACCCCGGGCTTCCTCTCTCTGGACGGTGAATTCATGATGATGCTCTGCTGCGACAGCAAGGCGAATCCAAGCACAAAGATTCCGTGGCTACTAGAAGATACTAGGACTAGGACCAGGAGTATGCAGATTACGAGTGTCACGAGCTTCTCCAAGGTTCGCAGCGCCATGACTCAGAGACATCAGAAAATCGAATTAAGCAAGCGGTACTAGATCACCCCGTTCGGGGTGATGTGCTTGCTTGCAGCTTCAATTCGTAGAAGCAGCAAACCGAACGGCCTGAAGAGAAAACAACGGACTGCACTGAGTTGTGCGACGCCGTCGGCTTGTCACCAAATGAAACATTCCCAAACTAGAATCAGTGGCCTGCCACGCGCAAGTCCGACAAGGGAAGGCAGAATCAGTTGACTGATTGCTTATTGAATCGACACGATGGCACACCCTGCAAAGGTATCAAACTCCATGACAATGAGAACTTGAATAAGCTGGCAGCACTTTGGCTGCTGCACAGCAGATGCACTTCCCACAGTGCCACCGATAATCTTTCATCGGCAGGCTGTCAGAGAATCCTGATTGACATCGCCGGCGGTTCCAGCCAATGCCCCCTGCTTTTTGGAAAGGAGCAGCAATGCTCACTGTTATCCCTGGCGGTGCCCTGCACGGGTTTGCAAGAAATTCTTTCATCTTCGTAGTGCGCTCGACAATCCGCCGACAGCGATGCTAAGCCGCTCAGCGCCATCGACACCCATCCAACCGATCAAGGCAAGACCGACTAGACGACACGGACTCTAGACTTCCAGCTGCATCCCTCAAACTTCCAGGCTTGACCCCAATACACGCCGTTCAGTTAAATGGTGCAGTCCTCCCTGCGCAAGGCACCTCGATCTCTACGAGCCTTGACATGGCAACGTTGGCCATGAAAGGTCCACTTGGTGGGATGCTCCACAGTGAGGTTGCATGTCCGCAATAGACTTAGATGGCTAGGGCGTAGCGGGAACACTCCAAGTGGACCTTGTCGAGCTCTGCAGTTGCAAAGACTCACGGGCACTGTGTCCATCGCATACGAAGATGAAACCAAGAATTGCAAACGGAATTTCGTGTCTAGCTTTCCCAACAAGTCTCGCAATCGATGCTGCGGTATTGGGCAGGGTTGTGCGCCAAAGATGTTCTTTCTTCTCTATAGGTGAATTAGGACGTCATGCGTCTGTTTCCTGATATCACGAGTCGCCAAGCTCGAAGATGAAGGACATGAACGCTTAAAAACAAACGGAAAGGCTGATTTCGGATGCGTGATATGGGACGTTCTTCGACAACCTCGTGATGGCTCGTTCTCTCCAAGCATCAGGGAAACTGCAAAGAGAGACAGTTCACATAGCCTGCAGTTGGCGGCCAAGCATCAGGACATGACTCAGTTCAACCGTGTTGCAACCAACATCTGAGCACGCAACTGAGGCCCGCATTCACTGCATGACCTCGGACAGCGGAGCTTGCACGAGAACTTCGAGCATCGAAGGTGGTGCTGCTCGATTCCGAGAGTCTCTCGACGTAGTCACAGACGGCGATGACGCAGGTAAGGCCATCGGTTGCCAGGAGCCGAAACAGATCTGATGTCGGCATCATCGCTGCGGTGATGCCGCTGGTCTTAGTGCGGGTCTGAGGATGCAAGCAACTGCGCAGCAAGCACGAGAAACAAGACAGGCACAACACTCGCGGATCAGCTCCTGGCTGGATACCAACCAGCCCCGAGCTTCACCTGCTGAAGGGATCTGATGCAATCTGAGGCTCTCAATCTGGTGCCCGACCTGTGTTCCCCTCGTCGCAAGCAATGGCATTTTGCTCGTAGCTACAACGTCCACGGCCAAGGTTCTTGCTTCTGACTCAGCAACCTAGGTGCAGGCAGTCATCTGCCACGGACCCGCATTCGCACCTTGTCTCAAGAAAACGCACTGCAAGCAAGCCACAGGAAAAGGCCACCTGAGCGGGCGATGCACGAATGCGATGGTCGATTTGCCGAACGCAAGCGCGACATGTCCCTGCAGTAGCTTGTGCAGTCGTGCCCACATGCCGTTCTGCACCAGCATCACGCGTAGGCGCACCTGGCAGGAAGGAAAAGGTCCAAGGCACGGCCATTCCGGGCAGAATGCTGCCTCGTTCTCCACCCACTTCAGCTGGAGAGCCAGCCTTCGAATGAAAGCGTATGCTTGCATGCTGCAACACCGACACGATCTTACAGGAAAGCAGGAAGCAGATCAGTGATGTAAGGCAGGGGCGACTGGATCTGACCATCCGGCTTCTCCAAGTCAAAAAGTATAGGTTCCTGGCGCTCAGAGAAAATGTCGAAAGACGAGGGAGTTTCGCAGAAAACAGTCCGTGTAGGATCCGGACACTCGCACGGCAAATGACGTCAAGGCCACGGTATGGGGCAGGCACCTGGGCCTCCTGACGGAAGCCTCGGGTGCTGCTCCGACACCCCGCCCTAAACCCTAAACCCTAAACCGGGCTTGGGGCTCGTAGGATTTGGGTGTGTGGATGCGTCTGTCGCTCTCTAAGCCATGGACAGACATGCCGCATCAAAACCCGTCCAGGAACTCCTGCACGAGAAACAGGCGATGCTTGTTGTGGAGGGCGCCAGCGGTGAACAAGCGTGGCACATTTCATATTTCGGAAGGTACGTACTGGATACCCAATACATAACGGAAGACCAAAGAGGGCAAGTGGACGTCGAAGCATCAACATCACCAGCAAGATTACCAGACCGGCAAACTGTGCAAGGACCTTCCACATTGCCCATCCAACAGCAACAAGAAGTGAAGTAGTCAGGTGATGTCCCAGGTGGCTGATTAAAACACAGCTGGTAGTAAATCGTACACGTCTTGGATCCACCGGCATGAACTTCACGGCAAGCCTTGGGTCTGACCGTGAACACAACCGAAAAACAGTTTTTGAGAGACAGGAAGACCGCTGTCCATGTTACTACATACAAAGACCGCCCCACAATGAGCAGCAGAAGAATCCGCTGGCCCTGGAGAGCTGGCTGCTCATGAGACTTCGCCTGGAGATAAGACAAATGAGCTTGAAAGGGTCATCTTTTGCCGCGCTTCTTGACCATCGTGCTTCCCATGCCAGCTCCGAGAACTGACACGTGAAAATGCATTGATGCAGGCTCTGAAACACAAGAAAGCCTCTGAACCCGGACCAGAGCTAGAACTCATACGGCTTCTGGTTTGGCGTCCTGCTTCTTCCATTTGCTTCAAGGCTTTGATTCTGGCCATTTCAACCTGCAGCCAGAAGTCGGAAGTGCGTGCATACATCCGCATGTCGTCTGAGCGAAACGAGAGCACCAGCAGCACATGTGACCGCCATGTCGAAGGCAGACAGTCCTGGCCTTGGACAAGAGCTGCTTTGCCATGGCTGGGCTTGGAAGGGGCAGTCGAACACCTTTCAAGTCGATGACTGCATGGTTCCTGACCTCGGCCAAAGCATCTCACAAAGCTTACAGCGGCAATGAACGCGAATCTCAACAGAACAGTCCCAGGGAAAATCGCCAGTGCACGAGCGCTCTCTGTCCCAGTATCCTGTTGGCTTCTCCCGGGCTCTTCTAGGCTTAACCGCAGCACAACACTCAACACCGACACCCCAGCCCGCAAAGCGGCCATCTCAAAAAATGGCTGTGGAGATTTCGGCCCGAGGCACTGCTGCAAGAGTACCGAGGATATGCTTGAGCTCGCCGCGGCCGCGGCCATCTCCTTACAAAGGGAGATTTCCCAGCTCAGGTGTCCGATACTGCTTCAGCTATACATAGAGCCACTCAGGATTCACTGAGGGACGACAAGGCAAGCAACTGGGCAGATTGTACCACGATCACTATCAATCTCAATCTACCATATCTTACTCGGCAACCGGAAGGCCCCAGCCTTCGCAGTTCAGGACTGTGAGGCAAGTCGGAGAAAGCTCCTCTGGCTGCTTCCGTTGCTTTGCGCTTTGCTGCACTTGATAGCAAGCATGAGCGTCGGGCGAAGTCGGGCAACGCTAAGCTAAAGCATCGGGCCCATAGCTCACCTGACACAGCACCGACGGCGCCCTTCAACTTCTGTCCTAAGAATTGTCCGCACATGCCTGCGACGATGGTCTTGCGCAGCTCCTTGCAGATGCCCTCAATCGCCGCGAGCGATCGGCCTCGCACAGGCGAAAAGAAAAGCAGGGGCCGGACTTCGCCATCAGTCCAAGCCGCTGCTGAGGCAGGGTAGCAATGCGCACTGCAGTAGCTCCACCACATGGCACAACTGCTGGCGAGCAGGCATGGCAAGGCATAGAGGATTTGCAAGAGCCACGGACTCTCATAAACTGATCAGTTGATGCTAGAATTACTGGCTGGTCTTACAGATGTTTGCCTGAGCTGTCAAGCAAGGTCATACGATTGCCATCGCATGCTCTCTTGTGTATCGAGTTTGTGGATTTACGGTTATCCTGACATGTCCTGACTACAAGGTCAGAGACGACCTATCATGACCCATTGTTCCTCACATCTCGACAACCAAATGGCTACGAAGAGCTCTCATTGTCTGAGCCGCCTGAGGTTCGGGAGAGGTTGCCGAAACCACTCTTTTTAGTTGCCAAGCTCAAGGCGGCCAAAGCTTCGAAGAGATCCTGAAAGGGACAAAATAATAATGGAGGAACTGCAGACAAGGCTTCGACGAGTCCTGAGGCAGTGGAAATTCAAATGCCAGTCCGGGATACTGAAGCCTTAGTTGGGTTTAGGGCATCAGCCGTGGCGGAAGTCTCGGATCTCTTCAGGCCCCTGCAGGTAGAGGGCTTCAGGCTCCTGTCTGAAGTCACCGATCCTTACAGCCGAAAATCTCTAGTCCCTAGGCACGGAAGGGCTCTGAACCTCAGGCCCGGCACCACGTGGGGCCGAACATCTGGTAGACCTGGGCAAAAAAAGCTCAAAAAAAAGACCCGAAGTCAGACAATCTCTCATTCTCTCTCTCGGTCTCTCGGTCTCTGACCTCGCGGAGGCTTGGTGCCACCCCCGCGGCCGCAAACTCGCGCCCGCCGTAGACCAGGCTGGGAAGCAAGCTCCCCTTGGGGCAGAGCCGTCGTCTCAGAGCTCTCGGAAAGTCTCAGAAGGGGCCTTTGAGCCCCGCCTCCGGAGCTTCCGGGTCGGCTCCCAGGAGCCCTGGCCTCCCGCCCTGAGAGGAGAAGCGAGGAGGCAGAGAGAGCAATTGCGCTGGGTCTGGCCTGAAGGCGCACAGCGATGACCCGGAGGTCCTGGAAAGCTCGTCGTGGACTCGAAAAAAAAGGACAGCTCCCTTTAAGCGTCAGAACACTCCTGCTGGTAAGCATCAAAGCACAGCTGGATCCTTGCGAGATTCGAAACTTCCACGTAACACGACCACAGGCGGAAAAGAGGGCACCCCAACAGGGGCCCCCGGCCCCCAGGATGGCAAGCGCACCGTCAGATCCGCATCGAAAGGACAGGACCTTCGACGGGTCCGAAGGTGAAGCTGCTTTTTTAACTTCTTCGGGTCGTCTGTTCTTGTTGTTTCTGCGACAATTACTTACTACCACTACTACTTCCACTGCCACTACGACTGCTGCTGCTGCTGCT